CCTCCAGCGCGCGCGCCCGCCAGAACTCGCGCGCAGAAGGCGCGGCGTGCGGGCGTGGCTGGGGGCGTGGTCGGCAGGGCGCGCCCTCGCGGCCTCAGATCCAGTAGGAAAACATCCTCTCACTATGTGGCCGGAAGTTGAACTAGAGGGCAGCCCCACCGCGAGCGGCTTCTTTAAAGGCGCGGCCAGCCGCGGACAACTGGGGTTTGTCTCTGCAGACCCAGGTCGTGGGTGGCCGAGCCCTGGGCTTGGAGTCGGAGTGGTTGTAGCTTGTGGAAAAGAGCACGTTCCTGAAGGCGCAAGAGACTTGGTTCCTCAGCTTATCGTGTGGAAAATTGAGGGGATGCTTTACTGGAGGCAGACTTAAAGGCTGGGATCACTCGAGGTGTTTGGATGGCTGCACTCCCCAAATTCCTGTGCTCCCTGCCAGGTCCGGCTGAAATGTTCGTCCTGCACGCGGCGTCGTTGCGGCTGTGCATACGGGTCTGCAAAGCAAAAGCACAGTCTTTGTGGCGTCGTAAAATTGACCTCAATGTGCATGGAGTGCGAAGCGCCTACTCCTGAAAAAGTCACTTTTTTTCCCTCATTAGAATTCACTCCTCTTATTTCGTGAAGCGTTCCTTTTTTTTTTTTTTTTAAGCCCTAGTGGCCCCGTGGTTAAGAGCTAGGGCTGCTAACCAAACTGTCGCAGTTCGAATCCACGAGCCGCTCCTTGGAAACTCTATGGGGCAGTTCTACTCTGTCCTCTAGGGTCGCTATGAGTCGGAATCCACTCGACGGCAAAGCGTTTGGTTTGGTAAGGCCACGCAGTTTTCAAAGAGAAGGGACAGAGCAGGCTGAAAGTTTGGTTGGGGACAAAAAGGTTGTGGATTTTCCAGGCAAAGATATCTTTTCCGTTTAGGTTTTTTTCTTTCAACATTTTCTAGGTTCTGAGGATACAAAAATGAACAAGACAGGTCTTCCTTGGTAGTCGTATGTATAAATATCTGATACATAATAGAATATGATGTTTTTGTGTCTCTATTGGTTACTAAAGATAGACAAAATTGCAACGTAATGTTTCCTTCAGTGAACACATGTAACACATTTGAGTGCAAAGTGCACTGCTGGATACAGTGTTTGGCACTGGGGATGCCATGGTGAATAAGAGAAAGGGCTCGTGTTTTCATGGGGTTTACAATCTACCCAAAAAAATTAGCTATATTTTTAATACTTGCTTAGGAAGTTTTCCGGAGATTGCAGAAGATGGAGCCCCAAACAATATGTGTATTAATTGTTTAACAAGAAACTAATTTGCTCTGTAAACCTTCATCTAAAATACGATAAAAAAAAAAAAAAGAGAGAGAATGGAGCCCTTTCCTCTTTTTACATTGACACAATATGATGATATTTATCCAACTCGTCATAAACAGGAAGATTTGAAGATAATGGAAAGCTTCTTCAGGATGTTGAACTTAGGAATTCTGTGTGGTTTCACTCTGCGTGTCAGTCCATAAACAAATCCTGTTGCTTAAATTAGAATTTTTGCCTGAAAAAGAGTTGCAGAACTTTAACACATTAAGTTCCATGCTGCTGGTTTAAGCACTTGACAGTACTTAAGGGCATTAAGTACATATAAGAATATGACAGATTTCAGGAAACTCAAAATTTAGCATGATACCTGGAATGTAAGAATATCTGTAGAAGTGTATTATATGAATACATTGAATGAACCATTTGTAAACCAATGAACCATAGTAGAGTCAAAAATCATGAAACACACTTTGCAAATAATGGTCCTTTACCATTTTTCAAAAATCCTACATATTGGCATAGGTTTCAAATGCGCCCATGCATAATTTCATTATTTATAACAGAAAGAAATGGAATCAATTTTTCTTTTCATATGTTGTGGGCAATGACATAAGCCAAGATGAACAACCGTGGAATGTACGTAGTTATTTAAATCTGTGAAAATATATGTACATATGTAGTTATTTTTCTAAGGTACTTGGGGAGCAGCGCTTAGGGAGAAATGCCAAAAGACAGTAAACTGAAAATGTCTCATTTTTATTTTGCTTGTATGTATCTTCAGCGAAAATGTGAGGTGAATTATGCTATCTTTAAATAAAATGGTTACTACTTGATTTTCTTTATTTTTCAAAGTTACACAATGTAATAGTCTTAAAAGTCAAATGGTTTACATAAAAATAAAGCAGTCCCCTGCCCTCTTCTTGCACTCCTTGAGCCCAGTTCCCTAGAAGCACTCCCTTCCAACTCAGCTATTTTTCAGCTCCAGATCCCTAAATTCCTGAGTAACATTACATTCTGATTTCTTCATTTAAAAATTGTAGACTCACTATTGTCCTGAGATAATCTTTAAACCTTAAACCAAAAATATCCCCTGAAGTCTTCTTGAAACCAAATAATAGTTTAGCTAAACTAGTAAAGAATGTCTGTCATGAGCTTTATGCTCTTTTAAGAACTATCTGTATGAGATCAAGGTAACTACAGCAACTAAAAAGATTAGGTAAGAACCTTAGGGGGCAGTGAGTTTATGTTAATTGAGGAAAGAACAACTTAGAAAAGGAGGGTGAGAATGGTTGCACAACTCGAAGAATGTAACCAACATAACCAATGTCACTGAATTGTTTAAGTGTAGAAACAGTTGAATGGATGTTTTGCTGTGTATACTCTCAACAACAAAATAAATTTTTTAAAAAAGATGTCAGCATTTCCACCCACCACTCAAAATTGTAGCTACTGTTTATTGATTTATTTCAGTGGAAGATAAGGATTGTGCTTACTTCTCTTACACCACTCTTCCACTTCCCATACACGGCCTTGCCCCAACTCCCAGTTCTTTCACAATTTTTGATTGAATAAAATACTCAAAAGTTTAAAGCATTAGAGTTATGTAAATATTATTCACTGTGAAAGCAGGTATTTTACTGTGATCATATTTCCTTTCTTGTTAAAATTTTTGTTTTTCCTGGAATTAATAATTGCCCATCTTATTTTGTTTAGCAGGAGCCTTAGTGGTGCAGTGCTTAAGCACCTTTTGGTCAGCAGTTCCAACCCACCAGCTGCTCTGCGGCAGAAAGATGTGGCAGTTGGCTTCTGTAAAGGTTACAGCCTTGGAAACCCTGTGGGGCAGTTCTTCTCTGTCCTGTAGGGTTGCTATGAGTCGGAATCAACTTGATGGCAATGGGTTTGGTTTGGTTTTTTATTTTGTCTGTTTGCTTATTCTTCACATACCACTAACTCAGCCACAGGCTTACCAGTATGGTCAACAACATCAAGTTCTCTATCAGGTCCATCTTAATCTTGGATGTATCCCTCCTGGAACACTCAATTCTCTTGTTCTGACCTGGACTTGTTGCTTTATAGGCCTGCTGCACAGCTGTCATCCTGGGACTTCTCTCCATTATTTTCTCAGGAATTTGTTCCTCCTGTCTTCTGTGTTGATTCTTTTGTTTCTTGGATCTCTGGTCTTTCTCTTCTCCAATTTGCTGGGATGCATACTTAATCGGCATCCTGGGAAAGAGTGCCTGGGAAGATAATTTTTGTAGCCCTTGTGTCCTAGTCATCTAGTGCTGCTGTGACAGAAATACCACAACTGAATGGCTTTAACAAACAAATTTTATTCTCTCACAGTCTAGTAGGCTAGAAGTCCAAATTCAGGGTGCCAACTCCAGGGGAAGGCTTTCTCTCTCTGTTGGCTCTGTAGGAAAGTCCTTGTCATCAATCTTCCCTTGGTCTAAGAGCTTCTCTGCACAGGAACCCCAGGTCAAAAGGACGTGCTCTGCTCCCAGCACTGCTTTCTTGGTGGTATGAGGTCCCCAACTCTATGCTCATTTCCCTTTCTTTTTATCTCTTGTAAGATAAAAGGTGATGCAGGCCATACCCCAGGGAAGCTCCCTTTACATTGGATCAGGGATGTGACCTGAGTAAGGGTGTTACATCCCACCCTAACCCTCTCTAACATAAACTAATCTTGCCTCATTAACCACAGGCAGAGATTAGGATTTACAACACATAGGAAAATTACAACAATCACAAAATGGAGAACAAACACATAATACTGGGAATCATGGCTTCACTAAGATGTCACATATTTTTTGGGGACAGAATTCAATCCATGAGAAATTGTATGTCTGAAAACAGATAGACCTTTATTCTACATTTATGTCTTATATATTGGCTGGGTATAAAATTCAAGGTTGGAATACTTTTTCTTCGTTTTGAAGTCGTTGATCAATGGTCTTCTAGCTTCCAGTTGGTTGTAGAGTGGTCTGATACTCTTATGATTCCTGAACCTTTATATATAATCTGTTTCCT